GCCATTCAACCCGAACACTACCACATATGTATATCAATCCAACTGAGCTCGAGTCTTTACCTGATTTTTTAACGAGAGTAGACCGCAGCTCTGTTATATGTACGTAGACTAGCTTTAGACTTCGAACTCAGCGCGCGCGAGGCAGATATCTGATGTGGATCAGATGCGATCGGAGGGTCATACTATAGCCGGCCGATCGGGACAAAAAGAAATCACGCGTGATACCAGGGTTTCTCCCGTCTGCAGCCCAGCATGATCATGCGTGATCAGGCATTATCACACATGATCATGCGTTATCAGGCGTTATCATACGTGTGATCACGCATGATCATGCGTGATAGCTTGAGATGATCAGACGTGATCAAACGTGATAACGCGTGGTGCCCTCGCACCGCCTCCCAGGGCGATCAGTGTATAATTAGGACTCATCAAATCGTGATCGGTGTCTCCCACTTTTGGTCCGATTCCCAAACAGCAACAAATCAACGCCAATCGCCTTATTTGGCAAATTTCAAACCGGTCATCGGCACGGCCGTCGGCATAAGATTCTAACAAACCAACTGTACAGTCGATGACTGAGCATCCACCTCTCTCACCTCAACCACCACCTTCTTTTTTTGCTTCCCACATCTTTCCCCCAGCCAGCCGCCCTCGCCTCCCGCACCATGCCCATCGCCCACCTCCTATATCCCCGTGGGCCCTGCATTGTCGACCGCTGCGATTGTGTCGCGACGTATTTCGACGATAACAGAGCAGTACGTACCCCTTCTGCCCACGAACGACGGCTCCTCCCTGAACTTTTTTCTTTTCATTCCAGGCCCCACAGTATCCAGATAAGGATTGTGTGTGCGGCCACCCCTTCTATTCCCATACCACCTCGCAGGACGAGCTCGACGCCGTCGCCACCCTTGGTAACACGCCAACCGCGGCCGGCGCCTGCCTGGCCAGAGGCTGCGCCTGGTTTTACAGCGTGCGTCTCTCCCTCGTCGCTCTGTCCGTCTCCCCCACTGATTTCCAATACGTGTTCAGCTGGATTACCGCTGGGAACCCGCGAGCAGCACTTGCATCTGCGGCAGGCGATGGGTCGCTCACCAGCGTCTTCCTCCCATGGCACAGTGCGCAACCTCTTCCCTCATCTTCTTTCATAGCTGATGCTCCCTTTGCCAGGCGTCAGCCGGTAGACAGCGCTGCGCGCGCCCCTCCCCTAGGCGCTCACCGTTTGTTTGGCCCTGCTCCCCCCCCGGCCGCCCAGAGGTATATAATGCCCACCGAGGTCCAAGTCAAGCGTCGTCAAGACCACGCGGCCGAGACTCACCGAGACCCCCTCCGCCTTTTCTCGCGCTCCGCCCCCGACGATGGTGCACCCAACGAACGGCGCAACACCAGCATTGGCGTCAAGTTCAGTCCCGAGGCCCCCCGCTCCGTCGTGCCACGCAGCAGAAAGAACAAGAGCCCCGCCACGCAGGCAGGGTCCTCCCACACGGTCGCCACGCGGGCAGGCTTTCTCCCGGAGGCGCCCGATACCCCTCTTAGTCATCCAAAGACTGAGGACTGGCTCATTTGTGTCCTGCCGTTCGCCGACGTTCGTCATCTTCCCTGCTTTGCTTTTTCCTTTCTCACCTGCTGCATAATAGGTCTCCCTGTTAGTACATTATCCGGGCTCCCCCTTCAATGGTTACGCGGCCACCCCCCATCAAGCCCGAGACGTTGTCCGCGCCTGCGAGCGGGCAGGTCTCGTTTATGAAATAGCACTCTCCAATGACGGCCCCATCTGGCGTAACCTGCAGGAGCAGGTCTTGATGCAATCCGGTCTTCGCCGCATCAGCATCCCGCGCGCTTGCCACAGCTCTCAGCACATATTCGACTCACTTGTATATGGCGTCGTTGCCCCCGCCCCGGTTTCCAAGGCCAAGATGGAGAATGCTGCTATGGTCCGCCCGTGGACTCTTATTACACTTACATCCAATCAGTACACCACGGCCAATTTGAGGCAGTACGCGGATCGCGTCCCCAACCTTATCGACGAGTATTCGGGCATGCCGATGCTCCTCCTCAGTTCGTGCCCCACCCCCTTTCCCGCACTGCACTTGCTTCTCACTGTCTCGCAATCTTTTTAGTCCCGATGCACGGCAATCTCGAGGGCCCAGGGCCGGACGATCAGCGGGTTCACCGTTGTTTCCCGTTCAGGACCCTTGCGGGCACCGTCATCCTTCCCAACGCCAAGGAGATACCCAGCTGCCGCGATCTCGCCTGCATCAGCACTCAACTCCCAGAAGCACCGACTCGCGCAGTGCGCCAGCGGCCACCGTCTGCCGAGGTGCGCAACCCATCCTCGCCTCTAGCGCCCATAGCTTATGCTCCCTTTAGCCCGCCGACGGATGCCCTGCGATGCGTCGTCGCGTAAGATCCCCCGCTCCCGATGACGACGAGTATCTGCCCAGCGTTGGTGATCTTCTGGCGGTATGTTCCTTCTCTCCACCCCTCGCCGAACTTCTCCTCAGCGCTCCACTCTCCAGAGGGCGGCCGCACGACGTCATGATCCCTTGTCGCCTCTGCCCGAGTCCTCTCCGCCTCCGCCCGACTCCTCCCCGTACCACTTCTCTCCGCACATGGCCCCTGCTCCCCGCCGCTCTCCACGCACCGCCGCGCCCGCTCGTTATGCCCTCCCCCCTCCTCCTCCCCCCCGCACCTCCCAAAGACGGCAGCCCGCCTCTCCCATTTGCGTGTCCTCGGGTGAATCGGCCGATTCGGATGATGGCGACTCGGACTTCGAGTTCCTGGACCCCATTCGCGCCTCTGCCGCCGTTCGCCCCCGCGGCGCCGCCGCCGTTCCTCCTCGTGCCGCCGCCGTTCCTCCTCGTGTCGCCGTTCCTCCTCGCGCCGCCGTTCCTTCCCGCGCCCCCACCATCAAGGTCGAGGCCAACGACGACACCCACCCTTCTGCCCCAGCGCCCGTCGCGGACCCCCGCATGATACCCCACTTTGTCATCGAGGACTATGTCATCGATCGGCCGCCTCCTCAAGAGGTGCCCCAGGTGCGGTGGGAGGAGGTGGAGCAGTGGATCCAGTCACAGGGCCACCCCTTCGTCGCCCGGGCCGCTACCCATTGGCCCACTGCCCCTAGCGCCGAGCTCTTAGCGCAAAGCCTCCTGGACCTTGCTGCCTACGATGCCCCCTACGGATCCAGTCAGACACTGCTCGAAAGTTCTCCGGGCGTCGCCCGCCCTACCGTGTTGCCGGAGCGCCTCCAGGAATATCCACTACAGGTCATGGTGTAAGTTCATCCACCCCGTGTCCTCCCCCTCCGTCCACTGACGGTGTTTGTAGCGGGAACGCTCCAGGCGCTGGTCCCCTCCGAGCAACCTTCACTGCCGGCCTCAAGATCCTCCTCAGCAATGAGGCACTGTGGGGCCGCCGCGGTTCCTTCTTCATCCCCCGGTTCTTTCGCGCAAATTCCATCATGCCCGAACGTCTCAACGCCTACTTCCTGGCTGGTCGTTGGGCCGGCCTATCCATCATGCATCGCAACGGCGCAGGTCCCGACCCCATTAGTCCTTTCCTACTCGTTCTCGCCATACTCGGAGGGGACGGCCTTGGGACCCTTACTTTGGATTTCATTGCCATGTTTGACCCTGACGCTGCGGAGACCCTCGCTCCCTTGTTCGTGCTCGCCCCCGGAACCGTCGTCTCCGCCACCCAAACCCGCACTAGTCAGCTCGGTCAGCTCCTCGTCCGCGCCGACTACCACGAGGCATGTACTTGTCTTCTTTCTACCACCCCCCCTCTCTCTCCATTGACCTCTCTGCACTTCAGCTCAACGTCTTCGCGAAACCGCGTAGCTACGAGGCGCATTTCTCCATTCATTGCGACATCGTGGCGGAGGTCCTCCTTGGCATGCCCGCCTATGGCAAGGACCACAACGAGCTCGACGCCTTCCGCACAGGCTTCCGCGGCATTCGACGCCACTTCCCCGACGCGCTCGATGCCATTGAGGTGAGTTTCCGCCGCGGCGGCCTCTGGATGCGTACTGACCTTTATCTCCCTAGGCATTTACCTTGAAGCATTTACGCCACGCGGATCCTGATCACTACGCGCTCAGCCTCCTCGCCCGCATGTACGACTGCCGCATCACCTCGGTCGACCAAATTATCTCCCGCCTCATATTCTGCGTGGACACAGGGGACCGCCGCGACGCTCTTTCCACCGTCTTCTTCCAGCTGTTTTCTCTCCACATCCACCGGTGGCTCAGGGGTCGCGGCCACCCGGCCACGCCGACTGTCGTCGACTTCGTTGGCGAGGATCTGTTCAACGAGGAGCACGACGATCCCCTCGTGCGTGCCCGGCTCTTCATGAGCGCGATGGTCGACAGCCAGGTCGTGCCTCTGGATGACGCCTTCAAGTTCCAGGTAGGTTTCCCGCCATTTCTACCTGTATGCGGCTCATCAGCTATAGATTACTTTGCGTAGGGGCCTCCGGAACCTCAACCCCCCGTACTTCCACACCTGTTTCACAAGCTGTGACATAAGAGTCGACGGCTTCGTCGAGAACGCCCTCCTTGAACCTTGCGACTTGGAGGACAGCGAAGACGCGACGCTGTTTGATGAGTGGATCCACAGACTTTTCTTTGGTAAATCGCCCTACAACCGTAATTAGTCGACCGGACTTTTAGTTGCTATTGTGCTCGTAGTAGTAGGTAGTACTCTATATACCCTGTACCTCTACTCTGTCAACGCCGACACGTCTTTCTCATTTTCGCCATGGTGGTCAAGAGCAAGCCCAAAATAGGCGCCCGAGGCCTTCTTTCGATCAGGTGATCGGACATCCGGCAGTTCGGAGCGGAGTGATAAGATAACGCAGATTACGACATGCCGCCTTACTTTAAATGCTTTGGTTGTAGGATACAACACATGTTGAAAGAATGGGAAAATAATGCTAGGTTTTAGGCTGAAATAATACAGGTTGCAAGAGAAAAATGTGAAAAGTTCGAGGTTAATTGGGTATGGTCGTAGTGGGAGTCGAACCCACGCGAAGGGACCTGTCAGGAAAAGGCACGACTATCTCGCGCTATAACCCCTAAGCCATACGGCCGCAAAAGACCACCATTTACTGCAATACAAATAGACGTGTGAACCTACGTGGGACAAACAATAATAAGACAGATACGGCCAAAAGAACGTTGAAATGCACATCATCAGAATACATAACCTAGCAATGTGGTATACCCGACGCTCTACCCTTGAGCCACCAGCCATTTTTTCCAAAAGAGCCGGAGCGTTCTTAAATTTAAACCTCCTATGTTGCAACTACAAAGGTAACGGAGTCGATGGTCTATTCGGTGCTATAGCGAGACAAGTGCTACTATACTGAATACCAGCTGGTATCTCCGTCTGATGCTCTACCATTGAGCTACTCGGCCATTATTCTAGTTGGCAACTGGTTGGCAACCCTGCAAAATCTTCAAGTCTGTAAGAGACGGCGATCAAAGAAGTGCTGTCAGATCGGGTCACGTGACTTACCGCGTC